CCAACTTTGGAGAGGAGCAGGATTTGGCGAGCCAGGACGAGTTCGTTCGGCAATTTCACGACCAGCATCCGTAGTTTTTTTTATTTTTAATTGTATATTATGAATTTTAAAACTTAATTGTATATTATTTAGTTATTTATAAAATATTTTTTTATTTTTATTTATAATTTGATTTTTTTTTATTTTTAAAAAATAAATTATTTATATTTATAATTAATTTTTTTAATAGGGAAAAAGATTTTTCGAAGCAAAATCCTCGTAAAGGTTTCCAAGTAATGTCCTCGTAAATAATTCTATCTAGTAAGTTCCTCGTAATGAATTACTACGAGCTTACGAGGAAAAGCTAACTACGAGTTTACGAGGAAACCCTACGAAGACCTTACGAGGAAAAGCTAACCATGCTTTTACGAGAAAAATTTTCCTCGTAAATTAGCTAGGACCTTACGAGGAAAAGGCTTTACGATGAACGTGTTTCGACGAAACGCGTTTCCTCGTAAGTTTCTAGTAAATGGTTATTTACTAGGAAATAACGAGGAAAACCCGTCCTAGTAATGGACGAGTTTTCTTGTAGTGTAGTCTTAATAAATATTTTAAAGGATGATTCAAGTTAAAAAAAAAAATCACAAAAGAAATCATGACTTCTATTTTAATAGATAAGATGTAAAATAATAACATAATCTTTTCTTCCTCTGTTGTTTATGTGTAGTAAGCTCTATCCTTAAAACTGGATATGGTTACTTGGTAAGCTTAAGAATAAAACGTCTGTACTTGATTCCTTGGGTAGCACACAACATATGATGAAAGCCTTAATAACATCATATAATCTAGTGGCATGACTTGTTGATTGCTTTTTCATCATCGTTGGATAGTGTACATAATATTAAACTTGTAAATCAAAAGCTGCTGATTAATAAAGGTAGAATGTGTTTGATGATCACATTCTAGTTAAACCAATTTGTTGTAAACTCCTACGTAGTTATAGTACTTGTGCTAACTTAAAATGTGTGTGATAAAACAGGTGAATAGGGAATAGATGGATGTGATAGAGAAGGTGAAGAAGAAGAAAGAGTTGGAGGAGAAAGCTGATGAAGGAAACTGAAAATTCTGTTGAAGGAGGAGGAAACACAGAATCTGAAGAAGAAGACCAAGAGGAGGAGGAAGAAGAAGAGGAAGAATCTGAGGTTCACGAAGATGAGCCAGCAACTATTAAGATCAGACTCTATGCTTGAATGTTGAACTCTCTCTTTTGATGTTTTATAATGCTTATAGTGGTAGCTGTTTAAAAACTTATTTGTTTTGGTATCTATTCTGAAACAGATGTTACTTAGGTCGTGTCATTCTATATATAAGTTATGTTTGGCTACGGCACTTTGCTTATTAAGAGCACAAAACTGCAAACTCTGCTGATCTGCTCTGTGTTCAAAACTCCGTCATTTGAGATCGTTTTCTTTTTTTTTAGCAAGAGATCGTTTTCTTTTTTTTTTGAGCAAGAGATCGTTTTCTTCGTAAGTGGGCGTATTTACGAAAGTAATGGGATTTACTTGTGGTCTTGTAATTAAATGGGCTTACTAGTTATTACTCCATCCCGCATCGGTAATAATCGAAGGTGAGAGATGGTCTTGTAATTAAATGGGCTTACTAGTTATTACGCCTCTATACAAAAGTAAAGGACATTTAACTTTTTGTTTTCTTTTTTTTTGGTCTAATAACTTTTTGGTCTTATAACTTTTTGGTCTTGTAATTAAATGGGCATTATAATTATTACTCCAATCCCACATCGGTAATAATCAACAATGTCATCTAGTATATATTAGGTATTAATCAACCTAAGAACGTCGACTGGTGGTGAGATAGAAGTTCATGTTTCTTGATATAGTGAAGTGTTTAGAGAGATTCTCTTCGGATAATTGAAGACTAACTCTAATAAAGGGAGATGTGATCAACCTAACACATTACCAGTTGACTTTTTAAATTATTCCAACATCTTATTTTCATAAACATAAGTATAACCAACGACAGTAGATTTTGTGGCGATAACCCCTTTCTCCGATGATATGATGATGCTTCATAGCTCCAACCTTTGCACGTAATTTAGCACTTGAATCAACAAGAATCAGTGTGTGAACAAGCCTGTTTTCAAATTTAAAACAATTCAAGGCAAGATGGTGTGAATGTGGGGTCTTCTTTAATAGTATAACTAGATTTTGATCCGCGCTTGAGAAGCGAGGATTTTGTTACGGTTGTAACAAAATGTCTAAAATGATCCGATTTATATTATATGATAGTTTTATATGCGAAATTTGATGTATATAACGTTTTAGTAGGATCTTTTCATTGAGTTTGCATGACCGAGTCAGTTTGTGGTTGAACAGAGAATCAGAAAATTAAGTGTTGTGAGAGTTTGAAGAATTAAAACACATATTAGATTGAAACCGAAATTGGATGGGTACATGACCTATAATAAACTTGAAAAATCAATACTAAAAATACGCAAAATTGTATTACAAATTTGTAGTTAAATCCAATAAATATGTTAATCGAATTATAGAGTTTATTTATGTTTCGGTAATTTTGTTTTGACCCACGCTTGAGAAATTTATAATAGGTAGGGAGACTAACTTTATACTATTAACCATAAAAAAAAAAAATTATGGTTTCCACGATACTGAACTCCAACTTATTCTTTTGTTTCCCTATGATACACGTTATGGTTTCCAGATCACCCAAGTCTTGTCCAATAACATCTAGATAAAAATATACTCGTGTTATATAGATACACAACAATGGAAATAAGTTATAAAAATGGGAGAAAACTGACCAATAAGAAAATTATTAACATTTATGATTCAAAATAATATAGTTTTAAAAATAGAAGAATTGTTCCATAAATATAGAGAAGAATTTTATCATTTAGGTTTTGACCTGCGCTTAGAAAACATTATCATTTAGGTTACAATTCTACAAAATGAAGATATCTAAATCATAAATCTATACAAAACGATAAACTTACATTTGCATCACAAATAATTAGTTTCAAGGTCTCCTCTATGTCTTTCATGAAATGTCTCCATGTATGAAAGATTTTGACTTGGATGCGACATGCAGTCTACCTCGGTTTTGTATCACGACAACTGCAAATTATTCGCCATTTTTGTTTTAAGTTTTTCAATGATGATGAATATAGTGGTTAAAAGAGGCTAGATTTATAATAGATAGGGACGATATACATTTAGGTTACGCAAATGTAGGAAAGAATATTTAGACGATTTTTAAAAATATCTCTTTCGAAGAATAAGGAATATTTCTTGAAGATATTTTGAATTATTTAAGAAGTTTAAAGTTTAACAGTTAATGGTAATACAACTACGGTAAGTTACTGAAATTTATGGAAACCAAATAAAGAATAACTAATCACGATACTGATTGTGGTTAATTTATAAACTTATAGATGAAGCAATTCATTTATTTTAGTACAAAGATAATTATAGAAAATATTTTTTGCAATATTTTCTTAACAAAATGTATCTCATCCATAAAATGTCACCATGAGAATGATGATATATCGACATATGAAGAAAAGTTAATACGGAAATATTTGAAATTATCTTGCATATAACAAATTTAGTTATTATTCAATAACAATCTTAATATATTATTTAAATATTTTAAAAATCAGATATCAAAGATATTACCAAGATCTTTTCTAATATTGCATTTTGACAATATCTTTTAATATCTTTTTCAGTAAAATATAAATATTTATTTTAAATAATAAAATGTACTTTTAAATATTATTACAATTAATTTTAATTCATTTGGATTTATTAAATAAGAAATACCATTACTATAATATTTATAAATACATTATTCATATTAATAATTAAATTACTACAATAAATAATATATATATATATAATACCTTGATTAAAATTATTTTATAAATTATAAGTTAAAAAGAATTACATATTCATGACAACATATATTCATAGAGTTTACAACATACTTCAATTTATTTATGCAAAATATTAAAATATATATTACAATAATAAAAATTATATTTAACATAATATCTAAATTACTATATTAAAATATAATTTAGTATATTTTCATTTGATAAAAACAATATTATTTTGTTGATTTTATTATACAGTATATTGAATTATATATTATGATTTAAAATTACAATTTTATTACAATTTATTTTATAAATATGTAAACATTTATAAGTATGAGAGCATATGAACACCATATAATTTATTTATATTATAATAAATATTTATGTAGTCAATCTATAGATTAAAACCGTAATATAAAGTTTATAAGACAATATAAATGTATGAAATATAATATGAAATATGGTTAGAGTAATTAATGGTAACAGAGAGAATATATCGGGTATATTTAATATGTGATATGATTTGTAACAATTGATATATATATAGATGTAAGACCAAAAAATAAATTACCAAAATGTCATTAATGAAGGTGCACACAACTTCCATCAGTCGATTTTTCAAAGGTGCCTTCACTTTTAATAGTATAGATAAAAGATTATATGTAAAACAATAACCACTGTGCAACAAAACACATTACCACCATCTATCTTGTGATCGCAAACACTGTTTCAACATGTTTGTAATATTTTAAAATTTAATTATAATATGAAAATATAATAAGTTTACCAATCAGGATTTCCTATCAGTTTTTTGAAAACACTGATTTTGCAGTCTAGGTTGCTGAACCGAGATAAACTGCTAAATGTTAGAGTTGCTTCTACTGACCCAGGTTTCTTGTGCAACAAGTAACTGTTAGTAAGTTGCACCAACAATCAAATTCTTCAAACCTCCCTTCAACTACTTCTCATCAAACCCAATCCCTAATTAATTAACTCTATATATATATATACACAAACTCCTTCACAATTACTCCATAAATCAAACCTAAAAACACACACACAACCCTCATTCTCTCTAGTAACAACACAATTCTAAATCTCCAAAATGGCTTCTTGGCTATCATCCCTCGTCATTGCAGCAACATTCACAAGCTTATTCACCGGTCTATCTGCTCGTCGCCATCTTCTCCAATCAACACCAGCGACTCAACCACCGGTTACAACAACATTCCCACCTCTTCCCAAACCCACAATGCCACCACCAATGCCTTCTTCGCTTCCTCAGCCAACTCTTCCTCAACCCGCAGCGTTTCCACCATTACCAAGTACACAGATGCCTTCTTTGCCTAACCCAACACAGCCCATAAACATCCCAAACTTCCCACAAATCAATATCCCAAATTTCCCAATCAGCATTCCAAACAACTTCCCCTTCAATATTCCCACCAGCATTCCTACCATCCCTTTCTTCACTCCACCACCTTCCAAGTGAGACTAAGCTCTTTAGCTGGCCACACAACACATTGCCGTCTTGGTCTCACACACTTTGTTTGTATAAGTTATGTCTCTTATTATGTTTCTTATTCTTTTGCTGTTGTTTGATGCTTTTCTCCTTCTCGTTGTTGTTTCCGGTACGAATGCTTTGTAATATATATATCTTAATATTGCTCTATTAATGGTTACTTTATTTCTTCTGCGTGATCTCTACGATCAACCAGTAACAAACGAATTATCATCCATAAAGTACCCTGAAATGTTTCCAAAACAAGTCATGTTCCATGAGACATTCTCCAAACACACAAAAAGCTAGAAGAAGTGCTTGTTGCTTCCAAGTCTTGTCTGAAATTGATGGTTTGTTAGCGAATTACCAAGAGAAGTGACAATGTTACCATTGGTACAATTTCTCATGAATTAGTAATCATTTTTTTTGCTACAAACTTAGTAATCAACTAGGTGTTGTGTCCGCATATGCGGGCATAATTTTCTTATGAATATTTATTATTTTTTGTTTTCTTATTTCTAAAATAATATTATAAGTTAAATTTTATAGTTTTAAAAAACCTAAATCAAACATTAAAATATTTTTCTATGAATTTTCATCAAAATCTATATGCCTAATATAGTGTTGAACAACATCCACATAATAAAATATTTCTGAAAATATATTTCTATTTTTTTAATATTTAATTTTAAATTGTTTTATAACTTACATTTTTATTTTTCATAATAATAAAAAAATATTTCCAGATAACTTGTATAATATTCTATAAGATATCTTATGTTTTAAATATGCATGAATGTGGATAATTATCCTATTAATTTATAATAAATTAACTAATATAATAACATATAAATTTCTATCACTAACATAAAACTCGTTTTTAAATAATTTATATATAAATATATGAATTTCATTAGAGGTATCATTAACTTGAACCATTCCAATTTTAAATATATAATATTTAATTATATAAATACAAATGTTTTTGTTTGATTAATATTTAATTAAAATTGATTTTTATATTTTAATTTTTACATTTTATAATAGAATGATATTATTTTCAATAGCCAAAATCAATTATATATAAAATTAAGATATATATAAGCATTATCATGTTGTTACAATATTATATATTCAGATAATAATAACATATATAAGAATTATTTTATTTTTTTATTTTTTTATAAACTTATTATATTAATTATTCTCAGTTATCTAAGATAATAACATACTAATCTAATTTATTTTTTAAATTTAGTTTTTAATTATCAAATTAGTTATATATAAAAATTTCATTAAGGGTAAATAGATATTAACCGCTCCAACTTTTAACGTGAGAGCTCCGTTGCGAATTATATAAATACAAATGTTTTTGTTTGATTAATATTTAATTAAAATTGATTTTAATATTTTAATTTTTAAATTTTATAATAGAATGATATTATTTTCAAAAGCCNTTTGATTAATATTTAATTAAAATTGATTTTAATATTTTAATTTTTAAATTTTATAATAGAATGATATTATTTTCAAAAGCCAAAATCAATTATATATAAAATTAAGATATATAAGCATTTTCATGTTGTTACAATATTATATATTCAGATAATAATAACATATATAAGAATTATTTTATTTTTATTTTTTTATAAACTTATTATCTTAATTATTCTCAGTTATCTAAGATAATAACATACTAATCTAATTTATTTTTTAAATTTCGTTTTTAATTATCAAATTAGTTATATATAAAAATTTCATTAAAGATAAAATAGATATTAACCGCTTCGGCTTTTAACATGAGAGCTCCGTTGCGAAAAATCACTTCGCAAATAATAGTATAGATGGTTTAATAGTTAATCTATCCATCCAGAAGGAAATCATCTCTCCAATATAGTTCTCATTGATAACCTGTTCACATAAAATTAGTGACTTTGTCAAATTCAATCAAATAAAATAACTTTTTCTGTGATCTATTTTTGGTCGCTAAAGCAGAGATTTAGAGTTTGCTTGCTCGTTCTACTCTGCTGCTCATGTGTTTTTTCCTTTTGATAAGCCTAGGCCCATAACTAGACCCATTATGAATGAAGATATATGTGCCCATTTGAACATCTCTGTAAAATGTTTTAAACGATTCTGTGGACTTGTGTGCGTCCTCTCTCCTCTGCGTTTCAGAATATTATAATTACCTTTTCCCCGCTCGAGAGAGATTTGGTTATTGAAAGTGGGAAAAGGTCAATATTAAACTCTCGGGACACTCCGACATCCTCGGATACAAGTCACAGGTGCGAGTTTTGTAACAAGATTATTAATTGGAAAAAAAAAAAGAGAGACGGCTTTTACTTGGCGGGAGAGGTGTACAAGTCGTGAGTCAACTCTTTTAAGGCCCCTTCTTCTTTGGCTCAAGTGTCCTCTTCGAGCCACATGGGAGTTTATTTCAATGGCTTTGTTTAGTTGATTAATTTAGTTTCCTCCTTTCACTGTTGCGTAATTTCTTTTTCAACTAAATGTCAATGATGGTAGCTGATTTCGTGCCGTAGTACAAGACCGGATGAAAGAAAAACTACAACACATTTGTTAATTTGCAATGAGTAAATCTCCAAGAGTATCGGCAATTTGTATGCTAAAAATTAGTGTTTTAAATATCGGTTTTAGGCTGCAGCAATAGACAAATCGAATAGACTAATTCTTGGGCTATAGGTTCACCATCCAATAAGATTACATTATTTTATATTCTTTTAAAAAGGAAATAAAATCTTAGTAAGTTATATTATGTTTTTTAGTATTAAAAAAGAAAATAATAATAATAAATAAAAATGAAAATAATTTTTTTTAAAGAAAATATTTTAACACTAAACCCTAAACTCCAATCCTAAATCCTAAACCTCTAGGTAAATCATAAACCTTTGGATAAATCTTATAGTGTTCTAAAAATTTAGTGTTTATGACTTATCCAAGGGTTTAGGGTTTAGCATTAGAGATTAGGGTTTAGTGTTTATGATTTACCCAAAGGTTTAGGGTTTAGGATTAGAGTTTAGGGTTTAGTGTTTTAGTGTTAAAATAATTTTTTAAAACTTTTTTTTTATAAAAGTTATCCAAAGATTTATGATTTATCCACGGGTTTAGAGTTTAGGGTTTAGTGTTAAAATATTTAAAAAAAATGATTTTCGTTTTTATTTATATTATTATTTATTTTTGTAATTTCATTTTTTTTAAACATAATATAGCTTAACAAGATTTTGTTTTCTTTTTTAAAAGATATCAAATATGAAATAATGCAATTTTATTGTATGGTGAGCCTAGAGATTTACCTTATGGGGTGAACCCAAGAATAACTCGAATATAAATGATATGATTTTTCAATTAATTAAATTTAACAATGGATACGCCTTTTATTTTTCTATGATATTATTTGCTCATATAACTATTAAGTTATTAAAAAGGTTTTACTATGATATAACTCATTTGTCATTTGATACATTTTTATGTTGTTATTTATAATTCAACATATTTTAATTATAATATTTTTATTTTATATTTGAAAGAAAAATGAATATTCCTCTCTAATCTTTATAAACTTAATTGTTATTATCATTAAAATACAATAGTTTTATATAATTTAAATTTTCGTTATAAAAAATAATAAATGAATTTTAATCTCTATTTATATTTTATGATAATATAAATTGATTAATTTTCGAAAATATTTTTTTAAGAATATTCTAAAAGAAGAAGACTTTACAGAGATTTTTAGCTTTTTTTTTTTTAAATACTCATTTTCATTTCAAATAAAAGGATAAAGATTGAAATATATTATTATTAACTTATGTTAATATAGTTTGAATGGTCCAAATAAAAATCACACATAAAACAATCATGATTTCTATTTTAATAGATAACTAGGTGGACAATCTGCACACTTATACGGACATTAGTATAAAACATATATTACATGTATAAAGTTAATGTGAATATATAAAAATATTGTAACTATATTTCTCTCTCTCATAGTTACTATGTTTTTCTTAGTATATTTCTATCTTACGTACTCATTTCTCTTTTGTTTTTTTTTCACACATATTCACTCGTTTTCTCTTTATGTATCTCTATTTCATTCATTTTGTCTCTCTTTATACATTTCTCGTTCTTTTTTCTTTTCTTTCTTTTAAATTGATCAAATAATCTCTAAATCTCTAAAACTTACATTCACTCTCTCACAAAAATTTATATCCACTCTCTTATCATCATCCTCACTATAACCCTCAATACTTCACTTTCAAGCTCTCTCTATCTCTCTTTCGGTTACAAAATTTTCACCAGATTTTGTTAAATATGTAAATTCTTTCACATAATATTAATAAATGATTTCAACATCTATCTTACTTAGATTCAGTATCTTACTTATATTTACTCTCATCTTCATCCTTATCATAATCCTCACTTTCATCCTCATCATCACCATCTCTCCCTCTGCGTCTCCCTCTCTTTCTTTCTCTCACACATATTTGTTATTTAGTGTTTAACATAAAAAATACTCTAATCATTTATAAAATTGATAAGCCAATTATAATATCACATTAACAATTACAATTACTGAACTTTTTTAAAATTATATATTTGACTGCTTTGCATTCATTTGACACATTTTATAATATATGTATATAGTGAGTAGAAATATTATTAAGTTTTTATTTATTAGGTTTTCACAATTTATGATTTATTGCATCTGCTATAAATATAATATTTTTAAAATTGTTCATATAATATCATTTGTATTTATATTTATATTATAATTTTTAATGTAATATATGATAATCAATGGTTTCAAAAAAAAATAATTATGTTAAAAATTCATTTAAATTTAAGATACTTGATTTTTTATTTGGTAACATGGATTATATCAGGTAATTCTATTATTAGTTTCTTTTTAAAAACTTGATTTAAATAAATAAAAATTCAAATACCAACAACCAATTAAATTAATAGAATTA